ATAAATTGTGCTTTCTTATTCCGATGTCTTTTTTTTTTTTTTTAATTCAGAAGGAGGGGGGGATATCCCACATTCCCTAAGCAACACGTTCACACTGTTTCAGACTTCAGCATTCCCTCTAGCTCCATCAAAGCTCAGCTGTTTGCCAGCGATAAAAGGGGTCACACCTAGGGTCAGCCTGAAATTCGGTGTGGTTTTGAAGCGAGGTGCAAATACTCATGCGAGGGAATGCCACTGCAGGTAAAGCTGAAATGTGACCAGACGCTGGGTGTCACGGTTCTCCTGCTCCACTCCCGAGGATTTCCTCAAGAATACTCCCACTCCTACCCCGGTTCCCCTGGACAGAGCAAAGATTACAAAGCAAGACTGTAATGCATCCGGTGTGGAGGGTCTCCATTCTTGGCTGTTGCATCTGCCCAAAACACTGACCTGCAATTACTGACTAAGGAGATATCGAATGGCCCCCATTTTCATGTTAAAATTCCTCTGGGGGAAAAGAAAGGGGTTTAGAGCCTCCTTCTTCACTATCTCCCTCCGTTTCATGTCTTGTGTAGGGGTGAGGTCCTGTGAACCCTCCGCCTACCTGGGCATCGATTTGCTCTAACCCGTTTAACTCAGTAAGAATGTGGCCGGTTGAAAACCTTTGCTCACTTGGAAGCTTGAGACAGGCCTGCAAAACCAGGCCCTAGAGCGAGGGCTGAGCGGCGGAGGTGGTCTCAGGACGGCGAGCTCAGCTGTCGCCGGTGTCTGTGCGTTTCACTAACCCGTGTGTGCTGTTTTTGCCAGAGAGGTCCGCCTGGCGAGCAGGGTCCTCCCGGGCCTCCGGGCCCCCCTGGAGTTCCCGGCATCGATGGCATAGATGTAAGTTTCCCTCCGCAGCCCTCCGCTGTCCCCAGCCCTGCCCTTTCGTGCTTCCTCCAAGGCTCCAGGGTTTGTACAAAGGCCCGGCGCCCCTCCCCTCACCGCACATGGTGAAGCTAGGTTGGACGCGGCTGAGAGTTGGGCGTTTAGGAGCATGGGGACTTTCGGAGGGGCGAGGTTGACGTGTCCTTGTCTCCGTTGGTTGGTAATGTCTACCTTTCGGCCCTTACGGGTGTCCGTGCCTGATCCATGTAGTGAGCACCCGTGGGATGGCTTCAGCGGGGTCCCCAGCTTCTCCTCCTCACCCACTGCTCTCCCCTTTTCTCTGATCCTTCCAGGGTGACCGAGGTCCAAAAGGTCCCCCCGGCCCCCCGGTAAGTTGATGGCGCGATCGTGCACCACTAACTGGGGACGTATTTTGCAGACACTTGTGTCCGAAGGGTCTAACGTTGCAACTGTTTCTGCCCTTGCCTCCCTCTGCCTCCTCAGGGTCCTGCTGGAGAACGGGGGAAACCAGGAGCCCCGGGCAAGCCTGGCACGCCGGGCGCCGACGTGAGTAGGCTGCAGTGCTTGGGCGCCTGCTGGGCCGAAGTGTAATGCGAGATTGTGTGTGTGCATGTATGTATGTGTGCATGTGATTTCTCACTTTCTGTCTCACCAGTGAACACACATGCCCTAGCAAAAATTTCTCAAAAGAAAAAAAGGGGGAGGGGAAGGAAGAACTGCATCTATTCTTTCAGAATGGTGATGCATCCCTCAAGTTAGACTTCGAGTTGCCACATTATGCATTTTCCAATGTGTGTGTGCATGTATGTGTGTGTGCGTGAAGAGAGCCGGTGACAGTGACAGAGAGTGCGCGCCCACGCTGCAGCTTTGACCTTGGCCTTGTGCCGCGCCTGACTCGGCCTGGAGCTGTTGGCCTCCTCCCAGAGCCCTGTGAAGGTGAGGTAACCTCACAGCTGGCGCTGGCATTTCATCCCCTCAGAGAGCAGCAACAGCACTGTTTCTGTTCCTAATAGTCCACTCCCGGCTGCCGTCAGAGGCGGGCAGGGGAGGGCAGGGGAGGGCGGGTGGATCCTACTGGCCCCAGCTTGGGCAAGGCTCACAACAGGTATTCTTTCTCTCACCCTTTCACTGACACTCCCTGGATTAATTTAGAAAAATGCCCAGCAGGGAGGCAAAGCCCAGAACACTTCCACACCCCAT